TCTCCTGCATCGGCAGGCGGACTCTCAAGCACTGCGCCACCAGGGAAGCCCCCCTTGTGTGCATCTTTTTAACCTCATGGAATAAGTAAGTGTCTCTTAACCATATACATTATCTACCCTTGGCAGGCGTGCTCTGTCCCCACCACCCATAATCTAGTTCAGTCTGTACCTCTCCCTTTTCTTCTCTCCAAAACTGCCTAGTTTTTCCAGTTTCAAATGACAAAGGTCTCCAGATATCCTCAGTACCCAGTAGAGCACCAAAGACCAAAGAAGGCTTGTTCTCTGTCTTCTCCAAACTACCCGCGGATTGTGATTGTTTCGGACTAATTCTTTTGTCGGAGGACACACAGGCTGCAATGGAGTGGGGACTTGCCTCGATGCTGGCTCAGCACAGAGCTGGATCTTTTCCAGATTGGAGCGTCAGAGCTGGCACTTTGCAGACACCCTGCCCCCTGGGAGGTGGGACACTGCCATCCCTTCTTGGTCTTTTGCGTGGCCTTCCACCCCAGCCTTGCCTTCAGGACACACTCTAGCCACCCAAGGTTACAGGTCTAATGCAGTGGTTCTCAACTGGGGATGGTTAGGCCCCCCACGCCAGGGCCATTTGTCTGGAGCCACTTCTTGCTGTCACTTTGGGGTGGAGGTGCTACTGATATCTAGTGGAGAGAAGCCAAGATGCTAATAAACATTCTATACTGTGTAGGAGAGCCCGCCCAACAAAGAATTACCCAGCCTGTAATGCCAGGAGTGCCAAGGCTGGGGCACCCCGCTGTGATCGAAACCAAACTCTGCAGGGATTATTTCTGATGTCCTCTAACGTGATTCCCAGCTCACTGTTAGAGGCAGAATTGATGAAATACCTGCATTTTCTCTAAGCCTTTCATTCAGTAACACTAGTGAAGCGCTGGACCGCACCAGTGCCATGCTGGCATGAGACGTCAACTTAACGGAGTCCCCAGACTCCGAGGGGGGCCAGTTCCATTAACTCACTCTCAGACAGGGGCTCCGGCTTCTCCTCTCTTCCCCTTCTCTGAACCATCACCCCCGTTAGCCCGCAGTCCTAAGTCAGTAAGGACTAGGGACGTGGGGAAGTGTCCTGCCTCTCTATTCACTGGACACCGGAGGGACAAGAAACAGCATGGACTCGGGGGGTCAGGTAGATCAGGAGCCTGCCAGTATGTCTTACTTGCTGTGTGACGATGACTAAGTATCATAACCTCTCTGAACCCCAGTTTCCTCCTTGAAAAGGGACGTGTGGCACTGAAGGTACCAGGTGTGGCCCTCCTCTATCAGCAGAGCTCCTGGGGGCCCACACACCCACTGGGTCCCAGAGCGGCAGCCACGTGATCGCAGTGCCTCTAGCATTTCACGGAAGTGCTCTGGGAGGGACAGGGTGGCCTGACCCTGTTCTTGTTCCCCTCTCACTGGCTCCTGTCAGTGACCTTGCCTCTCTGGGCACTTTGCTTGGACGCCAGTGTCCTGTACAGCCTAGCTTCCTCCCATCTGACTGTTTTCTTCTCGAACACAGGGGGAAAAAAACGAATGCTAACTCACAAACAGCATACTTAACTATATTTTCTCGCTTTCACTTCAACCCTCAAGAAAGTTCTTCCATGTGCAATACACAGCTGTGAATCTGCCTATAATAAAGTGAAGGCATTTTACCCACACTGGTATTCCCCCGGAGCAATCATTGGCCACCTGCATCTTTTTAGTTGCATTTAATAATTCAGCCCAAGATGAATTTGCATGATTAACATAAAGCCTTGTGATTTTATTTTCTTTCAGGATTTAAATCCTGAAACAACCACCATTGTGTTCATTTTCAGAGGTTGTGATCAAAACACAAAACTTGATTTTAGAATGAATCATGTCTTTAAAAAAAAAACAAAAAAAAAAAAACCAGTATTTTCAAATACCGCTCTCCACAGAATCAAAGAAAAGAGTTGCTAACACAGACTTTGTAGATGAAGGGAAACCCATGTCCTTTCTATGGCTACTGTTAACCCATTAGAAGCAAGCCATACTGCAGAGATTTTTTTTCCTTTATGCTTTTCCCATAAAGCAGCACGGCCCACTATCCCATGGCATCCAGAGTGGCTACCATAAATAGATTTAGCTCAGTTCCTTATCGGAGGGCTCTCCACATTTATCCGATCAGGAGCTAGAATCCCCGAGAAGTCTTTAAGAAAAAAATAGCAATTCTCTCGGATTCCAATAATAGATTAATCACGTCATCTTCAAAAAAGTAATAAAAACCCAAACCAAGTAAGTTGCATTTGGAAAACCATCTGCCTGTGAAGTGGAGATGTGCGTGTGAAATGGCAATTTGCAAAGCAGAAGAGGCAGCGCCGTCGGGTTTCTTCATGAATATAGTAAAACAGGTTTGTCTAATAGGGAAACATGCCTTACTATCAAAAGAAAAACGAGTGTATCCCACATGGAGAAGGAAGCAAGCTTTAATATCTGAGAAGCATTTCAAGCTGTGCCTGCCAGCGATTCTCCGCCTGTCTGATTTTCCTTAACATAAAAGCCGACCTCACCTGTTTAAAAATAATTAGGGAGCAGGCAGTAGTCATTCCGGCCAAAAGTTTGTGCTGCCTGCGTTTGCGTGTGTGTTTCTGTTCCACTGACACGTCTGTTGCTGTCTCCGACTGCAGGAACCATGGTCAGTAAGGAACCCAGCAAATGCGCACTCACGACCTCGGCGAGTGAAGTGGAGCCTGCCGCCTGCCTGGCCCTGGAGATGAAATATGCCCTGGATCCCAACCGGCAGATTAAGAAGCGCAATAAAGCCCTGCAGGTGCGGTTTAAGGATATCTGCGAGGCGCAGAACGAGCAGAGGGACACGCAGCTCTCCTCGGGACAGCTGGGCGACAAGCCGGCGTCCTACAGGGCCACCTACCGCAAATACATGACCGTGCCCGCTCGGAGGTCCATCCCCAACGTCACCAAGAGCACAGGTGTGCAGACCTCGCCGGACCTTAAGAAGTGTTACCAGACTTTCCCTCTGGACCGCAAGAAAGGGAATCTCAAAGGCATCCCAGCCGCGGATGCCTTTAAAAGTCAAAACAATGGGTTTGTAATTGATGCGAAAGAGAAGAATGAGGAAGGGCCCGGGGAGTCCCGGCAGTGGGGCGCGGACCGGGTTCAGAAGGCGGCGGCATTGGTTTTCCACTCCGATGAGCACGTGAACGCGCTGGGCCAGCCCGCCGGGGTCAACTGCGCAGAGCCAAGCAGAACCCCCGACCTGCACCGCTGCCGAGATGCTCCTCTCCAGAGCTCCGCTCGTCCTCCCTCCCAAGAGGCCGATTACCAGCTGCACGGGAAAGCAAAGCACGACCCGGCGACCCCAGACGCCGAGGAACCCGCTGCATCGGCCCACGGGACGGTGTTTAAGACGGAGGTGGCCACCGTTTATGCACCTGCCCCCGGCGCTAGGGCCCCCGACCTGGCCTTGTCGAACTCCGCCCCCTCGAGCGAGTGGTCCCTCTGCCCCGTGGCCGACCAGGAGCGGAGGAAGGCCTCACAGGCCAATGGGCTCCGGGCCCCGCCCGGCGCTGCCCTGGCCTGCTCGCCCCCGATGCAGTGCCTGTCCCCCGAATGTAGTGAAGCGTCCCTGCAGACTCAGGCCCCCCCGGCGCACGAGCACCAGCCTTGCCCGACAGCGCTCGCCGTGGGTGAAGAATACCAACAAATCGTGCCTCGTGCGGAAGTGGTCGATCTGAAAGCACAGCTTCAGATGATGGAGAACTTAATCAGTTCAAGCCAAGAAACCATCAAAGTGCTCTTGGGGGTCATTCAGGAGTTGGAAAAAGGAGAGGCCCATCGGGAAGGGTATGTATGTTCACGCCTTTCTTATGATGCTGTCTGCAGGCTTATCACCCTCAGGGGCCAGCAGCAGCCCCCAAAGCCCAAATCCTTAATGAGACTAAAGCCTGCATTTCTGAGAACAGGCTGTAGTCTGAGGACAGAGCAAGGTCAAAGCAGTCCCAGGTTATTTTATGATGCTAGACCTCATTCATCCTCACCTGCAAGACTGACTTGTTGGTTAGCATTCCTGTGCCTGGCCTGGAATTTAATACCTATTTTTTGAATGAACTGATGGAGCTTTCCTTTTTATCTCCCAGGGCTAAAGGTTTATGATACTCATGAAGTATATAATAGGTATGCCAGTCCAGAATATCTAATCAAAATAAGAAGCGACCTGCCTCTTAGGAATCATATTATGGAAAAGAAATTCGGATGGCATTTTGAAAAGTAAATGCTGACTCGCTTACGCTAAATAATTGGAATAACATTGATATTCAGGACTGTATGAGGTTTTATATTTTATACAACAGACAATATATTTTTTTTCTTACTTGGAACGCCTAGAAGCAATGCCCATCCTTAGACAAATCCTATGTGTATATCATTAGGAGCAAGATGCCCTTCTCCACGAGTTGCCCTGTGTGTACAGATGGGCAGTAGAGAGAATGAAAACAGCCAGGACTGTCTGCCATTGATAACAGATTGCTGAACTTTGTTTCCCTTCTTTTGTACTTGAAATTGTGCTAGGACGGCCAGGCAGTGTGCTAGGCTGATACGAAACGGCCAGCACTGCTCTGCTTCCGTGTTTCTTGAAACAGTGTCATGGCTCACTGGTTTTGTCTAGACGGCCAGACCTTCTCTTTCCCATTCCCCCATGAAGCTGTCTGGATTCCACCAGCCCATGTTTTGGAGGTGGCATCTGAGGCAGTGCCCTGTTGCCTCATGTGATTAGCACGCTTCACCCCGTGGGCTCCTGCCCCTGGGTTAAGTGAGCTGGCAGCCAGCATGAAGATAAGCCAGGAAATGCACTGTCAGGGCAGCAAACCACCCTTGCACAGGATTGTTGTGGTTGAGTTACATTGTGTTTGCATGTTGCAAACAAAGGGGAGGAAACAACCTCTATGATCTTAAGGCCTGGCCCCAGAGGCAAGGTGCCTGGTGCAGATGTTGCCCTTGGTGTCTGGCTTTTCCAGCTTCGTGCAGGTGGTCCATCTACAAAAGGAGTTAACTCTCAATAACCCCCACCTCCTACGACCTAGCATTGTTTGCAGCCTACAGTATTAAGCAAAACAAGTTGCTAGCCAGTCGTAAACTAATCTAACAGTAGATTAATAGTAACCTACCATTATAGAATGGTTTTCAAAAGGCTTTCTTGAATTTTGGGTTTACATCTCCATTTTCATCCCACTTCAATCAGTTAGCCTTGAAAAAATACATAACCAAAAGCAACACACTAAGGTGGGTCTGTAAGGGATTTGTGATCAGTAGACCACTCCCATGGAAACATGAAAAGCCCAAACAGGGACCCATCACTGACTTCGATATAGCCGGTAGTGACTTAAACCAGACAGCAAACTAGAAAGATACCAACATCACCAAATGGGAAATAAAATTCAACAAATGGTATAAAACCAAGTGCATACACTAAGTCGCGTGCATCTCACAGGGGTGTGTGCCAAAATAAACACCTGCATGGGTTGAACAGCCACAAACACCCCATGCAAGGAGAACTGTGTTCTACACCGGAGTTTCCTTCTATTAGAACAGGGCAGAATGTTGTTTTAAATGGGATCCTCTGAGTTCTCTGAGACTACATCAGTCTTCAAAGTGGTTTTGAGTTTGTTAAGACATGTCTAGGTGGCAATTCTGGCTCTGAGGACGTGGGCGAGGGCTGCACCTCTCTGTGCCTCATTGCTTCACCTGTAAGTTGGAGCTCATCACCCGTCCTGCAGACCGAGGGTGAGGAAGACAGGGAGTGACCTTCGAAGACACGGAGCCCAGCATCTGGTGCATCTGAATGGTTTGGTGTCTGCTGGTGGTGTGAGGGTTGCCTTGCTGGTCAGCGGTGTTGGCGTCTGGGGAACACTTAGTGGCCCCATGTCTGAGTCCAGAGTGACGGATGCACCCCACACACTCCCAGTACACAGGCTGCCATCAAGTGCTGTTCCTGCACGCCCTGACCTGCTTTGTCCAACAGAGTGGCCACATGTAGCTATTGAAATTCAAACTCGAATTAATTACAATTGATAATTCCATTCTTTAATCACATGAGAAACATCACAGGTGCCCAAGAGCCACCTGTGGAGACTGACTCCTACACAAGACAGAGGACATTTCCATCATCACAAAAAGGGCTTTGCCCCAGTATCCCCAAAACAAGGAAGGGACAGTGCCTGGCTCCTAATCATTTGAGGAGTGGGCACTTCGATCAAGGCAAAGGATGGCTTGACTTCGAAATCAATCTCTAGGTCAGTTGTTGTCTGCACAGGCCAAATTCACGGTAGGAAAGCAGGACCACAGCCAGGTGAACCCCCACATCTGTTCCTAATAATCTGCATTTCCACCTCCCTCTCTGAGCTCTCTGGATAACAGTGAGTCAAGTGGTTTCAAATTCCAAAGCCACCTTGAAGGTGACCCCTGTTGCTCAACTGCCCAGGGTCATTAATTTGCCCAGAATTCAAATTCCCACCACTGTTTTCCACGTCAGAATATGGACAAGGAGACAGCGGCCTCGGAGGCGGGCAGGTAAGAAGCAAGCTCCTTCTCCATCCCTTTCTCAGGGGTCTGGGGCCAGCAAGGGTGGAGAGTCTGCTGGTACATTTTTAACAACTGGCTCTCAAAGAAGGGGGAGTAGCATTTGCTGATTTCCATGGTGTAAATACTGCTATTGCGGCCAGTATCAGCCAGCCCATTAAATCCCGAAAATGTAACCTTCGGCTGCTCTGAGCACTGGACCAATCCCCTGAAGGACATGCACCAGGACAGTCACTTTAAAGGAGGAATTCACAGGACTTATTTTATGTACTCAATCTAAGCCAAGAAATGTTATCCTATCGTTGCATCTCATGGTAGAAAATAGGAAAGCTCACTCTACTTTACGTAGATTATTATTATAGTCATTTTGTAACATGACAAGGAATTTCATGACCACATTAAAATATTGGAAAACACTCCACGTCATCACCTGTGAAGAATGCTCAGAACCTGGGTGCAATCCACTTCTCGCCCTTCACCCCCAAATTAGCTTGCAAGGGCCTTTGTATAGAAATTTACCTTCAATAAGAGGAGTCGCAGTGAGGGAAGGAATTCTGTGTGCACTTGACTTAGAAATCAATCTAAGAGCTCACGACTTTGAAACCAGGTGACACATTTTGCCCCCAGATCCCCACTGCACTGCAGGCTTGAGCCAGGGCTGGCGAGGCCTCAGGCGTGCTCTTGTGGGTGATGTTAGCGCAGACCAAAGGAAGACAATGCTCGTTGAACTTGGCTAGCATGGCCATGGGCAAATTACATTGAATGTATAACTTGAATAGAACTTCTTTTCATTGTTGAGTTTGTTTATGCATTACCAAGTCTGTCAGGCAAGTTCTTGCAATAATAGTTCTTGCTCTGTGCGTAGAAATTTCTGTATCAACAACCAGGACCATTTTCAGTAGCTTCCAAATGATTTTTCAGAAGAGACTCTTTCTTTACTCTCGTTTGCTTATATAGATTTCCGAAAGGCCTCGGCAGAGAAAGTTTTCAGTTTAGGCAAGTTACTTAATCTCAGCGAGCTTCAGTTTCATCTTCTATTAAACAGGGATGCTAAAAGCTTAACAATGTTGTCCACAAAGGTCTCAGCAATAGCCGACACACAGCAGGCACTGAAAAAGGACCCATCCTAATATGAGCATTTCAGCGGGATGCATTCTTTAAGCGAGTGGATGTGCACAAAGTGTTCAGGAACATGCCTTCTTATTCTTAGTCCCTTGTAAAATGTCTGGGCAATTCACTAAAACCGCTCACTTTAAACAATTCAGGCAGCCTTTGATCCCTCTGTTTGCGTGAATGCCAAGAATGATCCTGCTTATTTCAAAGCTCTCAGCATTATTCTTGTCTCTTCCCAGGAAGTTCAGGGTCACACAGGATATCTAAACGAGCCACAAATGTAATCGCTGAAGGCTGAGACCGGGCAAACGGGGCACCGAGTTTAGAAACCCAACCAATTCTTGTTAACAGCCGTAATTCCCCAGAGCAGCTGTGGGTTGCTGGGCAGGTGACCCTCCCAGCCAAGGCTGTGGGGCTGCAGCATTCAGCTCAGGGGCTGCACCCTTACCGGCCACCTCGGCAGGGAGACGGCTGCTTACTTCTAAGGTGCTGGCAGCCCCACACGTGCGGTGTCTTGAGGGGTTCATTAGCTGATGACAACCCAGCGATCCTTGGTTCTTCAGAGAAGGCCTACAGATGACATGAGAAGCTTTACTGCACCCATTAAGCGAGAGGGCAGGACCTGCCATTGCCCAGAGTGAGATAGATTCTTTCACTGGTCGGGTCTCTCCCAGCATCAGTCAAGTGCTACCTGCAGGCTTGGGTGTGTGGGAAGGAGGAAGGGGCAGCTAAACCCAGGCCACTCCTGGCCCTTAAATGTGACCAGCAGGCAGAGAGGAAATCATGAAGCTCCGGGGGCTTTGTTACTGAGTCAGAGCAAGTGTGAGGCCATCACCTAAGACACGAAGATCCTACGTAACCAACCAGCCCGAGAAGCCTGGTAGCTTGCTGTGAGCGTTATAAATCCAGTGATTCAATCTCCCGGCCATGGGGTCCTATTCAACCTCACTGAGAAATGGGTTTCTCCACGGGGGGGATGTCCCGTTCTCCCGAGTCCAAGTCACACAGCGACAGGAAAGGGAAAAACTAGCCATGGGAATCGCCCTGAGATCAGGGGCCCCTTGAGGGCACACTCTCAGGGGCTCTGCAGGCAAAGGTGATAGGAATAAAGGTCTGGGGACGGCCACGAGTTAAGACAAACCCAGTGTGGAATCCTG